GAATGCTTTGAAGGATCAAGGCCAATGTCTCTTGGCCGCACACAGAGGTTGCATGACTTTCATCAGCTACTCCTAGTGGCATAAAGAACAGATTCTGGCATACAGTATTATGTAGGTATGTGACACCAGAAGGTCTACAAACCAGATGATGTCCAAGAAAGTCTCTGAATAGATTGATTTTATTTGTAATCATTTCAAAGACGCATATTTTCGATGGCAGAGAGTCCAGCTTTGCTCTGAAATGCAGCTCACCGATACTGAAATCAGCTTACTTTGTTCATAAGATGTTCCTAAATACAACTGTGTGGAAAAGTTAAAATCTCATTAATTCCTAAGTCATCTAGAGCAACTGACCTCTAAGAAAACACAGTGTTCCCCATTTCCCTTCTGGCTACTTCCCCGTCTCTCACATATTTTTATCATTTTCTACTCTTGGATCTTTATCACTGGAGTCTGTTGCCTCACAGACTGAAGACAATCTGAGAGGAATGTGTTTCAGCTACTCATGAAAAGGATTTTCATATATTAAACTATTAAGTGAACATGTAATTCTAAAGAAAAAAAAGAGCTCTCCTATAGTTATTCAGGGGAAAAGGCCTGTAGTCTTAAATGTAGCCTTTAATACTTTATGCATATGTGCTTTAATTTAATGAGCAACTATAGAGGAATTACAGGTGTTCTTTGAGGAGCATAAAGTATGCCTCTGTGTGAAAGGGTGGGAATTCTTTTTAGTTCCAGTATCCATCTTCCTCCAGAAATGCTTTACATCTAAATTTACAAATTTACAACTAGTACTAAGAAAAATTTCTAACAAGATTTCTTAAAATTAACTACCAGAGGAGGTAACTGTTTAACCTTGTTCTCTACACTGGAATGTCTGTCTCATACCACAGGTATTACAAGAATGAAATACAATGGCAATGTCTTTCTTACGCATATTACTTTTTTGAATTGAACACCTGCTGCCAAATTCATCTCTGGTCTTGAGATGAGATGCATGCATATGACTACATGAAAAGCATATGGGGGAACACTTAAAAAAACCCACAATTAAATTCCTTTCTGCTGTTGACTTGCAAATCCTAGCAAACCAAGTATTTTTTTAGAAATCTGTTAATGAATGGTCTTCTCATTCACCGAGTCTTCCTCTAGAATAACAATCCTTCACAACATCATGTATTTCCTTTGTAATGACAGAATGTTGCAATCAAAAAGAGCATCTCTCATGGTATTATAAACCGTAAGATGCCACTGTTAACATATAAAACTATCTACAGGCACATCACAAACTTTCCCTCATCAGTAATAGTCATAAATTGCTCTTTACTCTTGACGCAAACTCCACATTGTAAATGAAATTATATTTTGTCATGAATGTCATTAACTAGAAATAAAGAAGTGTTAAGTTTGGTGCTGTTCTTTTCCTCTCAAATGCAATTGCTTTAACTTCCAACCAGAAGATGTTCTTCAAAACCAGTGTTGCCTGATATGCTCACTGGTCCCTACGTACATGAAATTGTTTGGCTTGGAAGACCTCTCTTTTAGGCACAACATACTACTACAGTGGATGAGGAGCAAAGCTGAAATCTGTCAATGCATTTTTGCAAGTTTGAAAAAGCTCCTTGCTTACCGGATAAATAATTCCGATGAGAATAGAAGTCTAGAGAAAGTTGAAACAGTGACACTTTCTCAGAAATATGCTGTAATTCCTATATTTACTGTCTTCATCAGTTCCTGCAGTATTTTAAAACCAGCAAGTACGGAAAATGAAGTGCCGTTGCTTTAACTGGTGTAGAGAAATGACAGGAATGCAGATGGCAGTACATCCATTTAGACATTCACTCAGGTTTTCCTCCTCTGAAAGCTTCTCTTATTGAAGCATTGGTCCTGAAGATCCTATGATAGAAGACATTTCTACCTTCTAGAAAAGTTTTCAGGGTGAAACCCGTGATGGTATCTTCATATGGTTACGTGTTGAGCACTCTCACTTTTGAAACCTAAGCACCTATGACAAAAATCTAGGGAAGGTAAGTTACATGACACTCCATTTCAGACTGATACAGGTGTTGAGGAACCGTAGCGGTGATTGGTTCCACACAATTCTTCCTAACCTTGGTAAGGTGCATGAGGGTAGTTAGGGTACGTGCCATCACTTCTGCCATAAATACTCCTAATTCATATGCCTATAAGCACGCCAGACACTACTTAATTTTGGTAAGCTGGATGCACTGCTTCGATTATACCCAACACTGACCATATACACTTATTCAAAGAAATAGGCACACATATGTGCAGGCAATATTCTAGATACATAAACCATATATGATCTCACAGTACATATATACACATAGTAAAATCACACTCACATGCAAGGATAAATATATTCTAAACGCTCCAGAATGGAAACATTATAAACACGTTAAAATTTGCTAAGTATTGCAATATGGACAAATAAAATCTCATATATATATATATAAAAAAAAATACAGGTTATTTTTTAAATTACTAATACATTTAGAAACATGCGTTTAATTAATCTTCTAAAGATACTTTTCAATCAGCAGGTATATTAATGCTTACAGAGTTTTTCCTCTTCCATAAACTCAGAGATACAGTCTCTGCTTACAATGGTGTTCTACCTAAGATGTAATTACATGAATTAACAAAATCAATACATGTTTTCCTCAAATTATGTTGAGCTGTAAAAGAGGTTAATCTACCACTTTTTCTACAATATATGGAAACGCTGTCAAAGAGACTTATTTATTTGTCATAGTAATTATTGTTCTCTGCCTGATAAAAGTACCCTCCTTTGCCATTTAAGCAAGCAGTTTACTTTCTAAGGACTATCAGAAAACTTGAATATTCTAACTTCTGTGAATATAATTCAGAAACCTGTCAAGTTTAATCATATATTAAAATTGGAGCTATTCTTCTTGCATATTTCATCAAATTAAACCTCTCAATATTTCATGTTTAAATAGGGGAGGGATAGTTGTGAGGCAAAATAACTCTGAACTATTGTACATGCAAGAAGATTCTGTCCTCTCTAGAAGTAACATTCCAATAATCTCATTTGCTTTCTCTTTTATTTCCTCCTCTCTCCTTTTTCTACTCAAATCCGCTTGGAGAACCTTTCAGAAGTTAAGACTCCTCCTATATTTACTGCAAGGATACTGAGTCTCCCTGTTTGTCAGCTGCTATTAAAAGTATATATATAGAAAATAATACTTTTCCATATTCCATATAGATTTGTCTATTATACTCACTGCTAGTGTGTCTTAGCATCTTCCAGTAGTGCCTTATTTCATATGAATGACACCTGTTGTATTACAGCTTGAGAAGTTCAATCATTTAAGGTGTGAGAGGTGGGCTGACTTCAGTCACAACCTAAAAAACCCCATTACCTGAACAAGACAACACAGCTACCAGAAACAAGTAAAGGAGGTGATTTTTTCCAAACACTTTAAATAGCTCTGTCTTAGAACAATACAATCTTCCCTCCACACTTACATGCTGGCACAACCGAGATCAATGAGTAACCCATCCTTTACTGTTTCCTAGGATCTCAAGCATTTAAACACCAGCTGAGTGAGAAAGAGCTGAAAAATCAGAACAGGCCTCCTTAGCAGGTGGGAGGAAAAACACATTCCTGTGACTACTGATCTTGCCTAATACAGTAAGTTCCTAAAAATAAAACTATTCCTTATTTCCCAGCATTCCATTTCTCTTTGTTCACTGAACTCAGTTTGCACAATGAAGCCAGAAATATCACCTTTCTTTTCTCCATCTTCAACATTAGCAAAATGTCAGTGGGTTTGGGTTTCTTATATTAAAGGAGAAAGATTATGGTTCAGGGTTTTTGTCATTTTTGTTTTTATAGTTTTGGTGCAGTTCTCTGAACATCATGAAAATATTACATAACACTAGTAAGTTTTGAAAACCTTCTTTCTTATTTTCTAATACTGAAGTCTAAACGTTGGATCTATCCTAATAAATCATGCTCCTCTTGATAATTCAGGATAGAGGAGTCCATGAATCTTGGAGGAGAGAAATAAATTTTGATCATGGCGGAGTGATAACTTTGACCGATGCAGATACAGGCAGTCACCGTATTCGTTTACAGTGGGTTTGATGCTAATTGAGGAGGAATAAATCCTCACAACTTTACACACTGCGAAGTCATGTCTAGATCAGATGATTACACAACCACTTCCCTTTACTAGATTTTAAACTACTCTTCACTCCCTTTGCACAGCTGAAAATGAGTATATGAAACAGCACAATGGGTTAAGTAACCAAAATGAGCAAGCAAAACGTCAGGCTGATTTGACTACCAATCAAATAAAGAACCAACTACACAGACCATGCTACCAGATCTAGGCCAAATTCCCACCTAGTACCCATCTTTTACTCCACTGAAGAACAAAACTGACACAAATTGCTGAAGTACTTTCCATAAGTAGACTCAGCTAAAGTGAGTTTTGTCATAATGCACATTGCATTGGAGGTAAACTTCAGTATTTGTTGTTGTCACTCCTCAAAATCAAAGAGCTTTTAATGATTTCGAGTACCAATGACTTCATACTATCCCCTTCTTAAGATAGATAATGTTGAAAAAAAATGGATGTGCTTTTGATCTCAAAAGCAAAAGGACACTACATTTATATTTATTTTTTGTTATGAAAATATAACTCAATGTTCACAGTAATCCTGTATCTGTCTCCAGGTAACAAAACAGAAATATGTTGAATTACACACGTTTTTGGCATCAATCAAACCCTACTGAAGTCAACTTAAGCTGAAGGTAAACTGTACTTGTAAAAATAACAAAAATTCTATTTTAGATGCCTAAATATGGATCTAATAATTTTACTTTAGACACTTTTTCCTGCCTATGATACACTTCAAAGCAAAAAAATAACATGGCTTTTTAATGTAACATTTCTGTAATTCTCCAAGCAAAGAAATTCAGTGTTGAAAGGCAGTTAATACTGTACCTTGATTTCTTCTATTTCGTCTGGCACTATCTTGTATGCAGATACAGTCCCACCCAACCTGAAATGAAGAGAAGAAAAATATTCTCTGAAATCAGAAGAAAAATGTTCTCAAAATCAATAACACAAAGCACAGCATGTTAATGGTGTCATGACTTGTTCCAAAACATAAATATCCCTCCTACCAATTTAGAGGTAAAATCCACCAAGCCCCAAAACAACAGCAAAAAAACCCCCCTTTCCTTTCTTTATCCAAAGAAAAATCTTCATGTGATTAACACAAACACTAGAAACAAGGTGTCCTTCACTAGCCTGAAAGATAAGAATTAGGTCAACCAAGCAGAATTACCATCACCAGGGTGTTATTCTTTATATTAACAGCCATCAGTCATCATATTCTATGATTTCTTGTTTGTTGTCTACGTCGTATGGATAAGTTTAAATATTTGAAGCCTGATGTGCTTTGTGCTTAGCATTTCACTAAGCTGCTATACAGCCTTAAACGCATCCAAATGCAATTCTAGAAATAGAAATTTTTTAATTATATGTGCTTGTACAGACCTCAAACCACAGACTCTATGGCTTCCATGTTTGAAAAGTCTCTGGAGTTTATGATTGGTAATAAAAAGCAGGTGATGTGCAATAGTTGGTAGTTGGCACTGATGTAGAAAAATAGGGGGTTTTGTTCCACATTGAACTTACTGAACTTGTCTACATCCTGCAAAAGTTTATGGTAAAGAATAGTTCACATACTGAAGATGCAAGAATAGCATGTACTGTAAATGGTGGTAAATACTACATTTTCCCCAGAGACATGCAGACACGGCTTCTTCTATTTCATGAAGCAGTATCATTGATAGTGACAATTCAGACCTAAAAATATACCTGCACTAATGACCTCCCTGCTGGCTCTGCACAGCAACACTAGTCATTTTCTGGGTCCTACAGAAATGGAAAACACATAAGAAACTATTTATTGTAAAGCAGTAGACAGCTATCAAATGTGTATTTGTGTTAATTCCCTATTATCGGAAATTTTCCTTCCAATTGTCAGCATTTCTACAAAGAAGTATTTCCTTATATTCAATCTTGAATTTATTACACATATTGCTTACTCAACCTAAAAAGGGGAGAAGAGAATAACACAGAAAAATATATTAAGATTTTCCCCATAAGCCTTTCCGTGTCTCTACAAGTCACTCACTCTCAGAAATTAATGGTTTGAAGGCTTTAGACAGAAGATGAAATCTGCATAGGAAAAGTCAAGTCTGAAGTCCATCGCTGCTCCAAGTAATATCAACTATGATTTCCGAGGCAGAGACAGGGTCCAGACATTACAGCATTCAAATTCATCATGAACAATTACAGCGTAGCAATTGCTCCCTCCTATTTCCTCTGCAACTTCCATTGCTGCTAATCATCAATGGAGTTGAAAGTTGCAGAGAACTGAAACTTTTTATTGCCAGTGCAAGTACAAACATGAGCTTTTATTCTTCACTATATCTGACCTTTGTTCAAATGGTGTTTTCAGGGATAGCTACAAGAAATTGGTTTTAACATCATGACAAAGGATTGCTTCATCATACCGTGACAAGGAATGGCTCAGATCAGCGCATGTTATCATTGCACATGACCCGTTCTATTGCTACTGGAATGAGGTCCGTAAGAAAACACTTTTTGTTTAGTTCTTTCAGATCCATTCCTGTCCACACTCTGGAGTACCCAAAAAATAACTTCATTGACTTTCTATCCTCTAGTAGAAGGGGAGGACAGAGTCTCTGCTGCCAGCACCAGCAGGGAATTCCACCTAGCAGATTTCTTTACTGGCCACCCTCGGCACAACTATTAAGCACTTTCTTGGAATGCATCAGAAAAAAATTTTAAAAATCAAAGTAATTGACTCAGTAAACTCATATGGCTTGCTTAAACCATTAATTAGCATCATTTTCTGCAAATACTTCTGCAAAGTTTTGTGTCAAGAGTGTAACATACTCTGAATCTGCCAAGTTGCAGTCCAAATGGTAGCACATTTTAAAAATGTCAGTTACCACAATTCCACATTTTTGAAAGAGAAAGATATATTAAAAGTTATGTTACTGTTTAAATAATCTCTCACTTATAGCTCCAGCTCACCATATCTATCTTAATACATTTTCAATCCTACATTGACATCTTTAGCTTGAAAATCCAGACTACATACATAAATAATAACAAATTTGAAACTGAAAGAGAACCAGAGACACATAAATATACAATTCTATAAATGCCCCAGAGCTGAAATGAAGTTTTTGAGGAAGTCTATACTTTCTTCATTACAGACAATTAGGTTTCACTTCATCTTATAACTCCTGGAAGAGAGATCCACCACAGCAGACTGCCGGTTAAACCCAGTACTATATAGGACATAATAAAGACATTTGACTTTGTGTATGGAGTTTGGTTGTGAGTTTCACAGAAGTTCAAAGGCATCACACACACCGGGAGGATTCAATTAACACAGCCTGAACTCTTCTACTGGTCATAAATATGATATATGCGAGGAACAGAATTTTTGTTTTTACTCTATAATAATGTATCTACGAGAAAAAAGGATTTAAGCTGCCTATTTGGCAACCTGTGAGTAGTGAATAACATATAGATAACATTTAAAAGCAGTCTGCTTTTTTCCTGGCAAAATGTCTTGATTAACTTCAATTTCATGCACAAAATATTATGCCATACAATTCACTCGCCAAACGAACTTAAGAGGCAGAACCAGTTGTGAAACGTACTGCATACTCTTCACTCAAAAATCATAAATCCCAGTTCATTCCAACCGCATGCTAAATGCTCTGAAAAGAAATTTGAAAGCACTCTGATGTTACCAAATTGCTACTACAAATCTCCCACAGTCAGGTAAGTCCACAGTGTAAGGGACTACACACAATGTCACACATGCAAAAGTTACTGAGAAAAACAAAACCATTGTGATGAATGGTAAGAAAGAACAGCAAAATCAAGGCAAACTGAAAGTCAATGCATTAATTGGTACGTCCGACTTAAGGAAAACTTTGTATTTTGAGTATTTCTCTGAATTACATTTAAGTGTCACTATCAATTGTGACCTGTCTGGAAATTTGCTTGTTATTTTGCAAATCCTTGATTTGATCACTGATGTCTGAAAGAACAGAGAGCAGACAATTACACACAGGAGATTTCAGCTACAGGATGATACACAGTCTGTGACAGGACTTGCACATGGCATACGAGTTTTCATTTTCTTGGGAGCAACCTCTCTCTGCAGGTTGGTTTTGTTAGGACATTCTACACTAACTTTTTTGATCACAGTGTTTCAAGAAGCAATTACACTGCGATCAGAAAAGCAAAGGACCAGCTAGCACCAGTACACATCAACCACTGTGGGCTTTGTACGCTAGAATATAATGCAGCAAAGACCATGTCAGAAGGGCCAGAATTCAGTTCACCAGGGACCCAATTTTTGTGCAGATTCACTCTTCATCTTTCACACATTTTAGTTTTATTATACATTTTACTGTATTTTTCTCCAGTTGAAGAACACAACAACCAGCATCCTACAATATAAATGGCATTTTCTCTCAGAACAAATACACAACCAACCAAAAGCAAAGCTAAATATACAGACAGCTACTTCCAGTAAGCTGAAAAGACAGTCACAACTTCATCTATATAGACCTACTGCACAAAGTCTTTCTCTTCCAAACGGCAGTATTTTCACACTATAGCAAGCCACATTATTTAATAGTGAAATTATTTTAAATACTAGCTAGCTTTAATTTTTCACGTGTTTATGTAACAGATAACCTCTGAAAGGTCCCACAATTTATATTCAAATTTCAATAGACATCAGTCTCATCGGGTCCATATCATACCTTGCATGTAATACAGACACCCCAGTTCTCTAATCTCTTTGCAGAAGAGAAGTGAAATTATTCCTAGATGTAGAAATTAGAGTTGACACAATAAAAAACGAAGAACCACACCTTATATTGGGCTAAACTGGTGAAGGTCTTTGAGGAGAGAATCAGAAAAGACAGGATAGAAATTCCATAAAAATGATTAGGAAATAATACAACTCATATAACTATTTGCACTGGAGTTTGTGAAAGAATAGAAACTTTGTGTCTTTTTTAGGGAAACTATATTAGGAAAAAAGTGCATCTCAGGTTGACATATAATGCAGAGACTGGGTTCACAGAAAGTTCACAAAAAGGTTTCAGGAGAATGTTGAAAGCAAGGTTTCTATAGCAACCTAAGAAATTAGCAAAATATAGGAAATAAACTGAAGTGAGGCCAATATAGTTGTATTGGAACAGATGGAAGCTTTACTACTTCACAAATTAAAGCAGAATATCACTGAAGAGGGAAAACTTGAACTTCATCCAAGTTAAGGAAAGTTAAAAACCAGGAGGAACTGTGCTCAAATGGAGGCAAGAAACAATGAACCACAGCCCACATGGGAAGAGAACTCGAGAAGACAAACCAAAGAAATAAATTGCAACCCTGTTAACGATAAACTATCCATTATTTTAATAAGTTATCCTTTTATGACCTGTTTGCTGTATGTTTCAATACTCTATTTAAAACAGAAACTGAATTTCTCATTTTTAAAACATTTATTCTGGATGTAAGGTTAATATTATCACTGTGTTATTTTCCATATAGCTGCAAGTTGGACTTCTGAATGGTTTTCCCCTGTGACCTTGTACATATGCATATGCCGATGGACTCAATGGATTATTATTGTATAGCTACATCATGTGCAAGACACTTGTGCGCTTGGACTGAATCAATACTGGTCGGCTTTTATAATTTGAATTCTGACCAAAGATATGAACACAGTCTTTATAGACAGTTCCACATCCAGTGACTGCCATAAGAAGCTGAGCTATTGATTCATCCGTTAACTTAATAAGTGAGTCATACTGAATGCAATTAAGTCAATTTTCTAAAAATACCTTGTAGCCAGCTTGGCTGCTGTCATCTGCCGAAGTTCTCCAATGCCACTTTAATTAACATTAATCTTTCTTCAGATAGATCATT